CCCCTGACAAGTCACGTGTCTGTAAAATGTATAACACGTTGTCCCAGGCTCTGTCGCATTCCCACTACTTTGTAGTTATTAAACACTTGTTAGCGCTTTTGAAAAACACCTTTATGTCGTTGTACCTGGCATGCTCGGGCAAGTCAAGTACAACCGCGGGCCGCAAATCGGTTTCTTGTCCCAAAAGATTAACATATTATTAAGTTAACTAAAAAAACAATGAAGTCAGTTATTTATGTTCAACGCCGCAGGGGAAATCAACTTACTATTGGCATGGCATAGTCGTAACAACAAATATCGAATTACAACACGCAGAAAATAACAAGTTGTGATTAACAAAATTCAAAGTACGACCATAATGATGTTATTACATGTACATTATTAGTGGTGCAATACTACCCGAATAAAATTGGTTCATAAATTTCAACTATCGTAGAATCTTTTACCCAAACTGTGCGATTGCGCGGCTTGCCATTAACTCGGGGCAAATTGCACAATGTTTTGAAAGCAAAAGTGTGCATCGTCATCGTTCCAAAAAAGCATGGTCTGCGTTTTACGCACATTATTTTATATTTTTAATCCATGAAACACTGAAGCAATAGTGGCATTTGGGGTAGATATACATGCTTTGACATTTATGTGTTTGTTATGGAATATCCGTTTAAATACTGATAAGCGGTGAAATTGTTCAACGGTAATTTCATTTTTCAAATGCGGACTCGACCCAAAGAACCCAAAGCAAAGTGTTCTTGATGATATTCCAGCATTTATTTCACAAACGATCTACCACAATGGCGCAATACGCCAACTCAACCACCAAGCACATGTACCTCCCGCCTCCAGTGCGGTTGCTAACCATTGAATTACATTTCCATAAAGCATACAATTGTAGGGCAGCGAAGCAATGTGTTGACAGTCAAAGGCTGCACATTATAACGTGGCCACGTGACTAGTCTTAACGCACATAGGTCTTTTCACAATACGTAATACAAAACGATATATTTATAAACATAAGATATGTGTTCATCATACAAACGAATATTGCCCAAAACACGCAATAGTACAAACTATTATTCATTACCAGTGTTCACTTTTCATAACCAATACAGATGCAAAACGACAATTGCGCTATTCTGAATTGTGTGCAAATAAAAACTAGCATTGTATATTTAATGTAATGATAAATTTTAATCGCGTTTTAGATTCAGAACTTATTGTGGCAATAGTAATCGGTAGACATCAACATAAGCCTTGAGTCATCCACGTATTAAATAATGAAATTGGGGATTCCGGTGAGTACCATATATTGCTACAATATCTGGCATGTAACTACATGAAATAGTATCTACCCAAATGTCACATTTTGGTGGCAGTCGTTCTTGTGCTAAGTTAAACAGCACCTGGTGGAGTAGTAAGGTAATTTGATTGGCTGAGCAAATGGCCACCTGGGCTCGTACATCGAGGCAGGAAAGACTAGCTTTTGGCTAGTCACTTGCCAGGGGACCAGCGACGAGTGAGCACACAAATAAATACATAATTGCAAATATAACAATTACACTCTACAAAAGCCGCAATTGATGTCAGAAATCTCCTTGTATTTAAATTTACATATTAATTGATTAATAAAATGTTACTACTTTATACCGTATTCCGCTGTAAATCACTAAGGGTCGGTGACTTAAATTGGTAACAAATTATTCTTAAATATCATTTTAATAATAAAAAAAGACCTGCATGTATGGAGATTGATTTGTTCTTGCAAGTTTAATATTTTATGTGAACAGTACAGCACAATTTGACTGCTCATTAGCGAGCCAATGGGTGTGAAAATGTCCTACAACGAACCACAGCGCAACTGGGTAACTATTGACTAAGAGTTTGCTACAGTACACTACACTCGTACACTTAAGGTAGCGAGACTATTATTTGTGTTGAAAATTACGATTTTCACATTTATTTATTAATTGATGAAATGCACCATAAACTTTCATATGATAAAGTCATTATAACATAGAATGTCATGTAAGTTGGTTAAAATATAGATTTTCTGAAGGGAAGCAAGGCAGCCTCAGTAGTGTTTTCCAAAATCAACAACACAGGTTTAATCTGTGTGCCTATAAGTTTCAAAGATAAACTCAAGACAAAGCAATGTTAGGATGTGTTATCAGTAGCTATCTGACACACAATGAGTGTTTCCAAACATTTGAGTGGTTTGTTTCCGCCCCTGTTTGTTTCACAGATTAGTCATTTGCATATGAATGTGTCAGACACAAGGTCACACAGCCACTGAAAAAAAATCATTGATTTTGGTGTTTTCATATGCCGAATTTATCCAATTATAGCTATCCCATTCCTTTATATTT